TGTTACAAAATTCACAAATGGAAAATAGAAAATAGAAAAACAGAAAATATTAATTAAATTCCTATGCCAATATGCTATTTGTATATCACTTTTCACCATCATCATATCTTTCTATAAATTTTGTCGAAAATATATAAAGAAATTAAAAAAGTATAAATGGTTTCCTTTCATTATTCTCATTTTTAAATTGAAAAAATTTTAAAGGTTGATTTATCCATTCTCCTTTAAATGCCTGTTAATTTACACATTATAATTTGCAATAAAAATTTTATTGCATCAGTATTGATTATTAAAGAAATACATAATTACGATAAATACTGTATAAATAAATTAATTGAGAATTACCTTTTCACTTTTTGATGATTTGATGTCGAATTAAAAAAAAAAAATCTATCCTAAATGTTTTTTTTTTTTGATTCTCTTTATAAATAATATTTATTTAAGAAAAAAAATAATATGAAATCATAAATAAATTTATTATTATTATTTACCATGTCAATAGACTTGATATAACTTGTTCTGGTTTTTTTCAATTGTAATTTTCCGATTCTTTATATAAATAGTTTATTGAATTATTTAACAATTTAATTAATTATTTTTATTATTTTTATTACTTTTATTATTTTTATTATTTTATTATTTTTATTATTGTTATTATTGTTATTACTTTTTGAAACACAATAAATACCTTGTTTCTCATTAAATATAAATACCATTTCCCATCTAGACACTTCTTTCTTTTGTGAAAATTTTTAATGTTTCTATTCTATGATGCGGGTGATGATGGTGATAATTCACGAAACCTTCTTCCGGATCTAATACAACTTCCAAGGCCCGTTCGTGCAAAACGGCCGCTCAATTTTCATATTCGATTATGGAATATATTGTATGTAATTTATCCCACAATTCTATTAAATATAAATTAAATAATTAATTGATATAAATAATCAATATATAATATATCTATCTATATATCTATATTGAAATTTAAACCATACCAATAGATGCCTTTAGAAATTGAAAGGTTTATCCGTAAAGCCATTCTAGATATATTGACATCTTTTGGAATTTGGAAGTTTGTATCCTTCGAATTCGATGTCCTTACATCTTGTTTTTCGATTATGATGCAAGCTTGGTAAAAGGACAAGGGAATCATTTTGACAGGAGGATATATTGTAAAGAAAGAATGATACGATAAAAAGAGAAATAAGAGAAAAGAAATCTAAATGTGTAAGTAATGAAAAAAGTTTTAATCATAAAATGAATTGAATTAATTTAACAAAATTTATGTGTACTCTTTGTAAATTTGGCGAGTCTTTTCCAAGCCCTATCGCGTGTACCCAATTCATATATATTGGGTCACAATTAAATCTCTAATATTTGCTGTCTCTTCATTCAACTGTATGGAAGCAAGCTTCGAGACAGCATTCGATTAATAAATTTAAGAATGAGTAAATTGATTAAATGTAAATATATTTAAAAAAAATTTCAAAAACGATTAATAATAAGATTAATATGATTGATGATATAAACTAACCAAGAAGATTGCTTCCATTTTTTTGTTTTTAAATTTATTAATCTCCCACTTGTATAAAATCTATTAGACATATGAATTCCATAAATATTGGGAACTGGGATTATGATTTAAAGCCAATGCATATACTTGTTGAATTATCTTGAATATTCCTACTGAAATTAATTCCTCTTTGAATATAATGAAGGAAAAGTTCCGTCGCTTTTGAATATGCTCGAATTTGATTCTTCAGATTCATTCCCTACCAAAATCCGGTCAATCCACTCGCATAGCATTTGTGGTGAGGCCATATTTGTATGAAATATTCTAACATAGGTCTTTGATAATAGCCTTGCAAATAATTTCGCTGTTAACAAAGAAAGGAAAGAAATTAAAAAATTGAATAAAAATAATAATAATTTAAAATAACAATAAAAATTTGATCAAATCACATAAGTGAATAATATAACTACCAATGTTCTTGCATTGAACGTTTGAGAAACTCAGTAAACGAATATAATAGTTCTTCACCCGATATTCTTCAACAGTCCATTTTATAGCAGCAATGTATTCAAGACTATTTACACCAAGACCAAAAAGATCAGGTATCTACATAATTTCTAAAGTCTTTTACAATACTATACAAAATAATAACTATAATAATGATAAATATATATTGTTCCCAATTTACCTTTGATAAATATAATCAACAATCGAAAGCGTATCAGGGTATCGACGACAAATATCAATAAAATATTTTCGAAAACTTGAATAGCTTTAATTAAAAATCAGTGTGATTAATTTTAAATGAATTCACAGAATGTAGATGTATTCTAACTTTTTATAGCATTCGAGAACACAATCTTCACAATGATTCCTTGAATTAATTTATCATTATTCTTATTTTCATCATCGTCGTCGCAGTTGTCGTTATCAACTTCATCACCATCAACATCGCCATAATTATTATTATTATTACGATTATTTTTACTCTCTTAATTAACAATCATTAGTATTAATTCATTATCTGATTGAGAATAATTATTATTCTCTTCTATCGTCGAATCGTCCATATTATTAGATTCCGTTTCGACCATTCTTTCTTTTCTTTTATTGGATTGGATTTAATGAAATTATTGCACGGTGAGCTTTAATCTTATTAACATATGATAACTCTAATTTAAAATATTCCTTTCAAAGTTCAACTGATGTAGAAATCTCGTTGCATCAATGCTAATTACATGTAAAGTTATATTATTATTATTAAAATAAATAAATAATCTAAGGATCAAATACCTCTCGCTGATATAATATTGAAATTCGTCCAAATTCCCACGTTGCTACGAGAGTATAAAACGCTGGCTTATCTGGATGTGCTTGAATCGCTCTATAAATTTATTTTTAAAATAACGATTATTCAATGATCGAATTAATTCATTAAATTATATCATCACGAATATCAATATATTTAAGTATAATTTTCAATATTTCACCTTCCAAATATTTTACTTTAATGATTTGGTAAATTTTATATACTGATTCCACAAGAAAGTGTCTCCACTAAATTTTTTGACAGCACGATCATAAATGTAATAAATTCTTCGGATAATAAATAATCTGCCTTTACAAAATAATTCATAATTAATAATAATAAATTGCCAATTTAAAATAAATGTATTTTTAAAATTGCAATTAAATTCTTGATTTTATAATATAATTTACCTTTATCTTTTTCACGTAATTTCTCCAAATTTATTTCATATTCAGTAGATTACAAAAAATCTTTTATTGAGTTGGTCTTCTTTTCAATGCTTATTCAAAATTTGATCCTTTTTTTATAATATCTTTTATTTGTTTTCTAAATATGCCATTTATTTACTAATTTATTATCAATGAGTAGCTTGAAATTAAAATTGTGCTAATTGTGTTGAAATGCAGTGAATTTTATAATGTACCTCCCCTTTCCCAAAACCTTGAGTTCAGGTATCATTTGCTCGAGGTTAAACTGTACCATTTTTATTACTATACTTTAATTTTTTCGGAAAAAAAAATTTCATGATTGGTCAAAAAATTACTGTATAAATTTTTCCAAGATTATTCTTTATTCCCTTTTTGGGAAAATAATGCAGCTTTTATTATTTAAAAAAATGAATATAATATAAAATATAATTGATACTTACTAGAATTTATTTGATAAAAAGATTCCATCTATGAAGTATTTATACAACTCTTCAAATAGTGTATAAATGCAAATGAATAAACATAAATAGCCTTTATTTATTCTTCCCCAATTAATACTTCAGGAGCTATATAGGGCAGTTACTCGAGAAATGGTATTCTTTTGGGAGTTTTTCATGTTCTCTGTATAATCTGAAATTATTAAAATTATCTAAATATTTCCAGGATGAAAGACGTATCCAAATTATGAATTCTTGAAAATTCATAAGCTAAATCTTTAAATAGTATAATTTATCATTTCAATCGATATTATTATTATAATAATTTCTAAGATTTTCACCAATAAAATATTCAAGAACCATCATATATTCGTGAGTTTCTGGATCTTTTGTAAATTCAAAAAGTGTAGATGAATATATTTTACTAATCGTTTTCAAGAGAATTGTCATTTAAATAACATATTTTTAAACTATAATATAAATAATTTATTCATTTTCGAATAAATTTATCATATTAATTTAAAATATTACTTTATTTCATTTAGGAAATCTTCATTTATATTCGCAATACCACTTCAAAATGACCATTGTTGATTTTCTATATCCCAATCATCAATATGCGCTTAGCGTAAGCATAATAGATAGTACCAAAACCACCTTTTGCTATTCGTTTAATATCTAGAAATCTATCATAAGGTATCCCTCTATTAATTTATAATAATCAGCATTTTGTTGAGAATCTTTTCATTTCTACTTGTCAATTTATCAAAATCATTTTTTAAAATGTGTTGTCCCACGTCTATCATATTCTTTATTGCATTCTTGGCATACTTAGGCATTTTTTTTTGTCATTTATAGTATTTGAGGTAGAGGTTGGTCTTTTACTTAAGAACAATAAATAAATTTGTACCGGTTAGATATGAATTTTATATTTATCTCATTACATCAAGATCATAATAAGATTTTTTTATAAATGAAATTTCTTTTAGTTAAAAATTCGGAATTTTCTAAATCAACTTTCACATTCACTAAGTAACTAGAGGTGGAGTTTTTAAAAAATTGCTCCTTTTTGGGAAAAAGGAAATGATCGTTTGGTGAATTTTTTGAAAGAAAAACAAAAATAAATAATTTTTTTTTAATTTTGTATTTTAGGAATTTTGGAAATTTTTTTTTGAGATGCCTTGCGGTATGATCATTTTATTTCTTCGACAATCACCATAGCGTTTTTTTGTAGAAGGAATGATTTTCGCGTTTTTTTTAAATTGCACATATATACAATAGACAATTTATGAAAAAGAAAAACAGTTATTCTAGCGAAATTTAATAAACTTTGGATTTTTCAAGACTGCTAATTTAAAAAATTCATTTCCTTTTTTTTCATCCTTTTCCACTCCTAATTTTCCATGAAGATAAATAGCACTTAGATTATAAAGGGCAATTTCACTTCCTCCATCGGCTGCTTTTTTCATATATTTTAAAATGATCTCATAATTTTCTGAACTACCATTACTAATATTAAGATTGATTAATCCACTTGCATATCGAAGTTGTGCATCAGGAACACCATCATCTGCTGCCAATTTTAGCCATTTTAAACCTTCCTTTATATCTTTTTCTCCATGAAATCCTTTCACAAGATAATAACCTTTCCAATATTTTGCCAAACTAAGTCCTAAATTAGCATGTTCATTAAAACATTCCCAAGCTTCCTTGTATCGCTTCTCTCTATGCGCTTTAATTCCATCCTCGAATGGTAAGATAATTGAAAATGTTTATACGCCAGGGTCGCATTCATCCCAATCAGGCAATTTTTGGGGATCAATATCATAATGAGGAGAGATATTTTCAAAACTTGGAATATCATCGTGGGTATCGTTTTTAGGATAGATCCGTGGGGAGTTCAATTGAACACTCCTTTCTAAATTATTGATTAGATTGAAAGTTTCGGGATACGATGGACGTAACAAAGGCTCATCATCCCATGCTATATTTAAAATCATAAAAATAAAATATTTAATATATACTGTAAATGTGTACCAAATATATATTAAATGTATTATTTATTACTTTGTTTAATAAGTTTGGTGAGTCCTAGTAAAATCGGATCTGAATTAAATCGAGGTAAAATTTCTCTTTTCTTGCTTTTAACATGTTCTTGAACTTCGTCAAAAGACATATTTTTGTATGGAATCTTTTCATTAATGAGTTCCCAAACTAGCATCCCGAAACTAAGTTTTTAAATTATAAAATTTTTTATTAAATATATATTAATTATATCAAAAAAAAAAAAAAAGAAAAGGAAAAAATTACCTAAATATTTCGCATTTATGGTTGTATCTGTATTTCAAGTCACGCATTTTTTCAGGTGCTAACCAACGAACGTAATCATTTAAACCTGGAATTGTCGTGGAATCCTCTTGAATTTGGCGTGACATTTCAAAATTTGATATTTTTACATTTACATCACAATTTTCAGTGACCTATTATATGATATGAATAAAATTTAAATAGATTATTAAATCAAATTGGGTTTGTTTAATTAATATATATTGTATCTACTTACCAAAATATTCTCACATCGAACATCATGATGAAGAACTCCACTGTTAGATATAAAAAAAAGACCTTTGAATATATTGGAGATAAATTGTAACTTCGTAGGTAAGGGAATTGAACTTTTTTCATAAACTTCTTTCAGACTTCCATGTTCTGCCCATTCAAAAATCATGTAATCAATTTTGTCTATCTCTGAAAGACCATAAAAAGTAATAATATAAGGACATTTTCCTAATAAATCGAGGATAACCAATTGTGTCTGAATACTCCGAGATTTAGCTGTTGAATTTTTCTCAATAGCTTGAACTTTTTTGCATGCCACATCCAACGTTCCACGGTAATTTCTTTTCACAATGGATCTTTCCGATCCTCTTACATTGCCTGGTTTGGTTTTTGGATCTGTAAGTTCGGACGATTTAACATATGGAACTTTAATTTCACCAGAATTTAATTTTTTCGTTCCGATAGAATATTTATCTGTTGCGAAATATTTTTCATTCCATCTGTAAATTCGATCGAAATATTTTTCATTTCATCCCAAACTGATCTCATTGCCTATTATAATTTAATAGATACTTTAATCAAAATAGTAATACAAAAGAAAAAATTTAAAATAATGAATATAATAATAGTGTATACCCATTCTAGCAAATTAAGTTCGTTTAATATTTTCTCATTCTCTAACTCTCTTTGCTCTACTGAAATAAAAACTGATAAGTGCAAATCTTTGCAAACATCTTCAAATTCTTTAATATTTTTATCATATGCTTCTTTAACGGCATTAGTATTTAAATATTTTCGAAACATTGACAGTTGTGTTACATCTTCAGCAAAGTCTTTAATATTTTTCAGTATATTGGTAAATCTTACCCACGCACGATAATATTTTTCATCAGAAAATTTTTTTGCATTTTCTTGCCTTTTTCGTCTTAAAGACTTAGTAGCCTGTTCAGCAACTTCAATACGATCTATTAAACCTAAACACATAATTTTATTATATTTTGCATTTTCATAAATAGTATTCAAACTCTTTATGACTTGATCAACGATACCGAATAAAGGAACAAACTTGTCAATGACGTCGCTGGGATTGCCGAGCGTCGATTCGCGAGTGCTAGGCATGGTGTGGTCACCCTCAAAATGCATCTTGCCGGATTCACTATCAATAATCTTTTTTTTATCTTTTTTAGACATACTTGGAATGAGTATTCTAGCAATATATCATATAACGAAATTTTCCGAATATTTGTTAATATTATGAAATTAATAAAAAATATGAACGAACAAAAAATTATCAATAACAAAAGTTAAATTGTTTAGGTAATACGAAATTTTATAATTGGCGAATTTGTTCCTATCTCATGCATTAAAATGTTATTAGGTTAGGCTCATTCCTTTGTGTTTAAATCTGATTCATAAGAGATATTTATTTGAACAGATATCGGTGATTGATAAAAAAAATCATATGCGTCATATTATTGACGGACCATGTTTATTTAACTTTCAAAAATATAAACCTTGTAGAAGCAATTTAACTAGCTAGAACTAGTCAAGAAAACTTAAGAAGGGAGGGATTATTTCACATTTTTTATATATAACATTTGTATTATTGTTGATTTCATTTATTATATAGAATATCTTTAATTAATTTTAATTAATTATTTTATTTAATTATTTAATATGGGAAATTTTACCATAATTATCAGAAGATCTTTTTGAATGTAATCGAAGCGTTCTTCGGAGACAACAAAAGTATCGAAATATCAAGACTGTTCTTTAATAAAAAAAATTCTATTTAATTGGACTTTATGTTTCTGGCATCGTTATTTTCTTATCGTGTTTTCATTTCTTTTTTTTTGCAAATACTTTAATGTTAAATTGACATTTGACTAATTTATACCGTATGAATAATGAATAATAAATGATGAAGACAAACGATTTTCCCGGTATTCTTCTGTTCAGAAATGTAATATAATATAAAGTATTAATTGATTATTAGTTTAATCATTAGTTTAACAATTAATTTATAATTAAATTGCCGAAAGAAAAAAAAAATTTATTATTGTTAGTTAGAAAAACTTTTTCTGACATTTTTGATTTACAATAAATTTTTGGATAAAATAATTAAATTATTATTTATGTATTATAATTTTAAATATAATAATAAAATCAATTTATGTATTTACCAACTATACCAATAATGAAAAATCTGAAATTCACCCACTCATGCAAGTAAAGAAGAAATCCATTTTATATAAAGTGCTCTCGCTGCGCTGTTACCTTTAAATTACCCACGAAAATTTGAGTTATTGTGTACAAAATGAATTGGTAATAAAATGGATTTAATAATTCCATAATAGATTCTTTTTTTCTTGATATATACATTTTTCTTGAAGAAATTAAAACCAGTCATACTCTCAAAGGATTGGACAACTTCTGAGACCCTGAAGAAATAACACAAATATTATTGTATATACAAAGTTTTGAAATGTTATAACTGCTAGTTTATTTAAAATAATCAAATTGATTACTCGACATACATAACATAAAATGCACTATAATAGTTTTTTCAATTGTAAATTATATATTTGCAAATAAAAATTCTCGAATTATCGTGAATAATATGAAAATACAATAAGGATTTGATATTTGATAAATGATAATTAACCTGGATATAATTATTAGAACAAATACAATCTAGTATTAGTTTGGGAGCTCTATTATTATTCTCACATTTAAAGTTTATATTTATATATTTTTATTCAAAATATTGATAGGGCCCCTATTATTTAATTTAACTATTTATAAATTTTGTCATTTAAATCCAATAGTGGAATTTAAACCATTTTTGTACACATTACTTTTTTTTTTATGAATTTAATCGTTTTCATTTATATTAAAAATTTTCGTAATATAAATATTCAGAAATATTTATTATATGAAATATTGCTAGAATTTTCATTCAAATATGTCTAAAAAAGATAAAAAAAAGATTATTGATGGTGAATCCGACGAGATACATTTTACTGGTGACTATGCCATCGCAACGTCGATATTCATTGAACCATTTGTTCCTTTATTCGATACCTTTGATAAAGTCTTACAGAATTTGTATACCATTTATGAAAATGCAAAATGTAATAAAAAAATGTGTGGAGCTTTAATAGATCGTATTGAAGTTCTTGAACAGACTATTGAGTCTTTAAAACGTAAAAAGCAAGAAAATGCAGCAAAATTTTCCAAAAAAGAATATTATCGTGCGTGGGTAAGATTTACCAATGTACTGAAAAATATTAAAAATTTTGCTAAAGATGTAACACAACAATTAGTATTTCAAAAATATTTAAATGCTATCGTCGTTAAAGAAGCATATGATAAAAATATTAAAGAATTTGAAGGTGCTTGCGGAGTTCTGCAATTTTCAGTTTATATAGTTTCGGAAGAGCAAAGAAAGGTAGAGAATGAGAAAATATTAAACGAACTTAATTTGCTAGAATGGGTATACACTATTATTATATTCATTATTTTAAATTTTTTCTTTTGTATTACTATTTTGATTAAAGTATCTATTAAATTATAATAGGCAATGAGATCAGTTTCGGATGAAATGAAATATATTTCGAAACAGATAAATATTTTATCGAAACGATCAAGCCTCCAAAAATTAAATTCTGATGAAATTGAAGTTCCTTATGTTAAATCGTCCGAACTTACATATCCAGAAACAAACCCCGGCAATGTAAGAGGATCTGAAAGAACCATTGTGAAAAGAATTCACCGTGAAACACTGCAAGTGGCATGCAAAAAAGTTCAAGCTATTGGGAAAAATTTGGCAGCTGGATCTCGGAATATACAGACACAATTGGCTATCCTCGATTTATTAGGAAAATGTTCTAATATTATTACTTTTTATGGTCTTTCAAAGATAGACAAAATTGATTACATGGTTTTTGAATGGGCAGAACATGGAAGTCTGAAAGAAGTTTATGAAAAAAGTTCAATTCCCTTACCTACGAAGTTGCGATTTATCTCAAATATATTCAAAGGTCTTTTTTTTATATTTAACAGTGGAGTTCTTCATCATGATGTCCGATGTGAGAGTATTTTGGTAAGTAGATACAACATATATTAATTAAACAAACCCAATTCGATTTAATAATCTATTTAAATTTATATTCTTATTATAGGTCACTGAAAATCCTGTTTTTGATGTAAGAATATCAAATTTTGAAATTATACGCAAAATTAAAGTAGAAACTGTGTCATTTTCAGGTTTAAATGATTACGTTCGTTGGTTAGCACCTGAAAAAATGCGTGACTTGAAATACAGATACAACCATAAATGCGAAATATTTAGGTAATTTTTTCCTTTTCTTTTTTTTTTTGATATATTTAGTATATATTTAATAAAAAATTTTATAATTTAAAAACTTAGTTTCGGGATGCTAATTTGGGAACTTATTAACGAAAAGATTCCATACAAAGATATGTCTTTTGACGAAGTACAAGAGCATGTTAAAAGCAAGAAAAGAGAAAATTTACCTCGACTTAATTCAGATCCGATTTTACTAGGACTCACCAAACTTATTAAACAAAGTAATAAATAATACATTTAATATATATTTGTTGCACATTTACAGTATACATTAAATATTTTATTTTTATGATTTTAAATATAGCATGGGATAATGAGCCTTTGTTACGTCCATCATATCCCGAAACTTTAAAGCTAATCAGTAATTTAGAACGAAGTGTTCAATTGAACTCCCCACTGATTTATCCTTTAAACGATTCCAACGATGATGAACCTGCACCAACATTTTCACTTATCAAACCATTCGAGGATGGAATTAAAGCACATAGAGAGAAACGATACAAGGAAGCTTGGGAATGTTTTAATGATCATGCTAATTTAGGACTTAGTTTGGCAAAATATTGGAAAGGTTATTATCTTACGAAAGGATTCCATGTAGAAAAAGATATAAAGGAAGGTTTAGAATTGTTAAAGTCGGCAGCAGATGATGGTATTCCTGATGCACAACTTCGATATGCAAATGGATTAATCAATCTTAATATTAGTAATGGTAGTTCAGAAAATTATGAGATCATTTTAAAATATATGGAAAAAGCAGCCGATGGAGGAAGTGAAATTGCCCTTTATAATCTAAGTGTTATTTATCTTCGTGGAAAATTTGGGGTGGAAAAAGATGAAAAAAAAGGAAATGAATATTTTGAATTAGCAGCCTTGAAAAATCCAAAGTTCAAGAAGCCAACCCAATAGAATTTATTAAATTTAGTAAAAAAATTTTTGTTAGAATAACTTGGTTTTATTTTTTTCATAAAGACGTAATTTTATGTAATTAGTGAATATATTAACGCTTATAAAATCATTGTTATTTTTAAATTTAATTACTTTTTAATTATTTAATTTTATCAGTCAAGAATTTAATTCAAATTACACAAAAAAAATGACTTTGTTGAACTATTTAGGAAAAGGAAATAATATTGTACTCAAGTTATTTAAAAAAAAATTTTCAAAAAAAAAAAAATTAAAAAAAAAACGAAACTTCGTTTGTTCGTTTGTAATGTTTTTACCTTTATCATTATAAAACAATCGGCTAAATGTGAAACCAAGGAGAACTAACGAATTCAAATGCTTCTAAAGTATTATCTTAAAAAGGATTCAAATATTTGTAATTTATTTCTTTGAGTTGGGTATTATTCAAAAATGAAAAATGAACTCCAAATAAATATCTTTGGCAATAATTTTGTTTAAACTACTGTATTAAAAAAAGAAACATTATATTATCCCCTGAAAAAAAAAGTCGCAATATTAATTCTTTAGATAAATCTAATTGTATAGTTAACTATTCATAAATAGAATCATTAACAACTATTGATATGGGTTTTCAAGTAACTATGAATAATACTCTATTGCTGAAAATAGATAGTTTAAAAATTCATTAAATACTCTTGTATCTAAATAATTACAACAATCAAACTTATTACAATAGAATTTGAGATGGAAAGTGAACGTGAAAATTTTAAAGCACAAATTATATAGTAAATTATAATACAAATTTGAAATTATGATAATCAAGAAATATGAATAATAGAAATTGTCGAAATTTGCTTTTAATGAACGAGAACTTCTATACAATGATATTATATATTTCAAAGTAGCTTGAATATCGTAATTCTGTAGTTGTAAAATTTATGATCAAAGAAAATAAAATGTTTCAGCAATTAAATACATGTAAAACAATGATATAGATAGTCATATTACGATTATATAAATTTATTTATTGTTTGAAGAGAATCTCAACCAATATCAGAAGGATTCTTAATTTTCGTATTTTATAATGAACAAATGGGACAAAATTATCTAGATCGTGAATTCAATACAATACTGTTACTGGTTTTATTGATAAAAACAGATCTATGGATTTTAACAGAATTAATAAATTATAAATGAAATAATAGATGATTTAATTATAGAAAAACAGAAAGAAATTGAGAAATTAGTAGGAAGAATGAAACAGAAATTGAAACAAGAAAAAAACTGTCCCGAATGAAACTCTCTTAATTCAATTATCTATTTCTTCAGAATTAACTCACTCAACCAAAAGAAAAAGAAAAGAAAATCTCATTTTTCAAAAAATAATTACCAACCCAAAAATTTTTTATCTTTATTTACTTATTAAATTATACACTATTGCTATTTATTATTTTTTTTTTTTTGATATTATGAAGTCTTAATTACAATTTTCAATTATTAGTTATATAAGATTCGCAAATAGAAAATATCAAATATATCTTTCCATGATTAATTCACCATCATATTCATATTAATTATTAAATTAAGACTCCTTAATTTCTTCAACAGAATATTCTTTACTTGTATTTTGATATTATTCTTTCTATAAATTTTTCGTTAGAAAATAAAGAAATAAATTTTAAAAAAAATATAAATGATAAATTGGATCGTTATTCTCATTTTTTAAATTAAATTGAAAATTTTTAAATTCCTTTGATTAACTGTTTGATTATTTGAAAATTAAAAAAATAATTTGGACAGATTTTTATTTATGATTTAAGAAAAAAAAATAAGAAATCATAAATAAATTTATTATCAACAGAGATGACGATATAACTTGATCTGGTTTTTTCGCTTGTAATTTTTTCGATTCTTTATTTTATTAATTTTTATTATTTTTATTATTTTTATTATTTTTATTATTTTTATTATTTTTATTATTTTTATTATTTTTATTATT